TTTATCTTAATTCATTTTTTACCTGAAAGAATTTGCTCATTCTCAAAAGCATCCAGCAAATTAGCTGGACCTAGAAACCGAAAGCTGAATAAGGGTATGTCTGCCGCGTTCGGAAGTCGGTGCAAACCAGTGTGAGCTCGAAAAGAGATCCGCTTGTTTGAAATTGCAACCTTAAAAGAAGCCTCAGGGGAATCAACATCTAAGTGTGCAATTCTCTAGATTCCTCCTTGTTGTATAGATGGTAGGAAGGTAGGAATTTCTAGGCGATGAATGACAGCTTCCATTTCAGTTCACTGTAAGTGTTTTTAAGTAAAGCAACTGAACGCTTAGAATTGTGTGTTGGTTGAATGACACATAACATGAAACGTGATAAGAAATCCAGCATGGTGACAAAATACAAATGATATCTGCTGGAAATAATGGAGAATATAAGCATGTACAAACCTCATTATCTAACAAAAATTCTGTCAACGAATATAGTCCTCCATAATCGCAGAATTATGACCAAACATACCATTATTGTCCGTATGAAACTTGCAAATCACGTAAGGACTGGAAGACCATGTTTTGTATTGGAGTTCAAAGCAGCAAGGTCGGTGGGTTGTTCTGAGCTCAGGAACTAGTGAATGGGAGTGGGAAAGGCAAAATGTTGTTATGGATCTCTGCCAACGAAAATAATTTGGAGTGGGATGAGTTAATAGTCCATGAACATTTAGTGGGTTGCAATGCAATGGGGGAAATAAAGATGGGGAGAGTGGGGTGTGGTAGTTCCCTTAATATATGTAGTAAATTGTATTTTGCTATATTAATTATAAAAATTAGATATCTTTTGTATTTTTTTGAATACTTTATTTATCTTCTAGTTTTTTTTATATTTTATAGCTTTTTTAGGATTCAATTTATATATTATCTATTTGTTAATAATATTATTATTTCCTTAATTATGTAATTAATAGAATTCGAATAATTGAAAAGTTTAATGGATAATGACCATTAAGGCGATTCAAGCGGCTTCATTTGTTTTACAAGGTATGTTGGGCATAGACATGGTGCATATTTGCGGTTGAGCACTCTAAGCTGGTGTATCACTCGCTGGACACCACAGCGTTGGAAACTTATTACCAGTAGCTCTACCACTATCCCACCATCATCTTCCCCATCAGAACTGAAAGACGGCAAACAGGATCTTCCCAAATTCTTTTACTGATCAATTGATGTGAAGAGGAAAGTCGGTTGGAATTGGCGACGAAGGGGCAATAGGAAAGAAAAGGGATAATGGGTTTGTGGTTTGTGGAACGGTGACAAAATAAGGTTTATACTTTGGAAGCTGAATTGAGGGTGATAGAAATCAGAATACGGTGTAAATTAACAATATTGAAAAAAATAGTAACATCATTTTGAAGTTGAAATTTAATTCTAAAACTAAACTTATCAAGTATTTGTTTCGAACAACTGACATACAGGTTATAGGAACTATTTGTAACACCATATACTGTAGCTCCGCCCATGGCTTAATTAATGAAGTAATCAATTAAAATAAAAGATGTATTCAAATGAACCATTATAGATCCTCATATTGTCCTACGTATGGAAGTATACATAAAGGTTTGAATTGGCTAAAAACAGCTTAACTGATAAATAACGTCATAACCATATTAATTTGGAACAATTAAACTGTTATATGGGTAAGCGGCAACCTACCACTGGGATGAACTCGGCCTACTATCGCGTTAGCCCACATAAGGCCCAATTTAATTGCTCCATCCACCGCTGGTCTCCAATAGAAGCAGGCTTTTTTGAAAGAACCAAAACGCAGCACCTCATTAAAGAGGCAAGGGCCGGAAAAACATTTATATCCTTTTGTGAAGCTCTCAGGATGCAGCATTTTTGAATCCCTACAATTTGGATTCATGAATATGCTTCATAAATTTTATAGATGTTGGGTTGAAGAGGAGAGAGGGACAGGAGAATAGGAGAGAGATAGAGGGGACCGGTTCATAGGTTTGTTGGGTTTAATAATTGGGTTGAGAAAGATAACATGACGGGTTGAATGACGTGGCGCAGCGGCGGACCCAGGAATTTTTTATAGGGGTGTCCTCTTTTAAAAATAAATTTAATAAAAATAATTAATAAAAACAAAATGTAAATAAGAAAATATCTTACCCGTACAGGTTAAGTCCATTATGTGTTTTCATAATCTGAAATAATTGTAGAATACACTTGGTGTCTACAATATTTAAAAAAAAATTGTCTCTATATACCCTACTAGACAATCAATCACGAACTTATCGCATATTCGATTTGTAAACTTGTTCTTGATGTAACCCAAAGCTGAAAGACTCTTTCAACACTTGTCGTACAACTATAAAATCAATACAAATTAAGGGTAGGTTGAAATTAGTTTAATTGCTAGGTTTTGAAAATAATTAGAGATAGGGAAAATTAAGTGTAGTTTAATGAAAATTAAGTGTATTAATAATAATAGTTCTCTAGGTTTGAATTACCCAACCTCCCACTTATATTCTCATACACAAATTTTAAAAATGACAGTAAAATAATAATTTTTTCAAATTTCAGGGGTGTTCCTCACTATCAATTATATTTTTTTGTCCATACGTAAATTACCACAGTGGATTGAATAATTGTTTTTCAAAAAATTTAGGGTGTCCCGAGCCACCCCTAAAGCCCCGTGCGTCCGCCCCTGACGTGGCGGGTTGGGTTTTACTATGTGGCGGGTTAAAAAATGGTGAGTCAGCACTTTTGTTAGCGACTTAATCAATTAACTGGCGGTATTAACAGAACTTAACGAAGAGCGACCAAACGTGAACCATTTTATTCATTCGAGTGACCAACATTGATGATTAACATGATACGTTTTAGTAAACTCAGTGGCATTTGCGTTTTGAATATTACATTAATGATCGGTTCCGTAGATGAAAACAACAAACCAAACTTGCCACAAAAATGGAGCAACTAGCTAAAGCAAGAATCGCGGCTGAATTATTTAAGGGGTTGTTTGGTTTAGAAATTTGGTTAGGAGGAATTTGTGAGAGATTAGATTATGGTCCAAATACCTCATTTAAAAATCCAGATAATTAAAACTATGAAATTTAATAAATCACTTGTTTGATAATGGATCCAGAATTGTTTAATTAGTTATTTCAATTTTAATGATAAACTTAAAATTACAAATTAACCATTATCTCGATCTTCTTTGCAGACCTATCAATCTTGAAAAACGGAATTGGATCTAGAAGGCTAAATTACACGTTTGTTCACTCAAATTATACAAATCTTTCACGTTTACCACCCGAATTACTTTTCTTTCTTATTCGCCACTAACTTTACAAATTGTTTCACAATTAGTCACCGGCCATTACACTCCATTAAGTTTGTCCTATGTGGCAGTCAACTATCAAAGTTTGACTGTTAACTAGTTGACGTGGAAATTTAAAAAAATTAAAAAATTAATATATTTTTTAACTTCATCATTCCACTTACTTTGTTTATATGATTTATTGTATTTATTATTTATAAAAATTAATTAAACTAAAAAATTTAATATCACGGCAGGAGCTCTTGCTCTGGTTCCCCATGGACAAGGAGTTCATTTTCTCCATGTACGAGATCCCCTGCTAATGTATCAACGGCGACCACGGAGGTGGTGATGTTGTGGCTGTCGGCGGTGTTGTTCCCTTCACCGATCTTTCGTTCCCGTTGTTAACGGCGATGGACGGACAATCTGAATCCATGTGCTCCGAGTCCATATATTTGTCGGCCAATTTATTGTTGTTGTTGTTGCTCCGCGAGTACTGATCTTTCTCCTTTTTGTCCATCTAGCGCTTCTGGTCCTCTTTGTCGTCCTCGTAATCCTCCTCCTGGATCCGGTGATTATCCCGATGTCGAGGAACAGGTACATCTGGGTCTGGTTCTTCGCAATTGACAACTCGTTGGGATTTGACACGAACAGAGACTTAACTTGTTGGACGAACCCCCAATTCTCCTTGACGACGTCGCAGGAGGCGAGCTCGTTCACTCTCCCCTGGGCAGGATACAAACGAGCGTCTGGACGCCGAGCAATTGACCTCCTTGGCCCGATTGCAGTTGTGGTACGACAGCTCAAGGGCCCCGGCGAGCCACATCAGGGACCCGGTGGTGAGTGATTTGTTGGAGACGTACGCCGTCGCCGGCCGCGAAGGAGCGGGTGAACATGACGTAGAACCACTCCGAGTCGATGACGTCGTTGTCAAATGTCGAAGCTACTGGTGGTGGCGGCGAGCCGGGGAGGGTGTTTGTGACGAGGAGGAGGGTGGGACCAGGAGGTGAGCTTGAGGGAGAGTGGACAATTAGTTCTTGTAATTTTTGTAATTATATTAAATAATTAATATGATAAATCATATAGACAAAGTAACTGAAATGATGAAGTGGAAATTTTTATTTATTTTTGAATTTTTTTATTTCCACGTCATCTAGTTAACAGTCAAACTTTGATAGTTGACTGCCACATAGGACAAACTTAACGGAGTGTAACGGTCGGTGACTAATTGTGAAACAATTCGTAAAGTTAGTGGCGAATAAGAAAGAAAAGTAATTCGGGTGGTAAACGTGAAAGATTTGTATAATTTGAGTGACCAAACGTGTAATTTAGCCGGATCTAGAAATAATAATAACCCCCCCCCCCCCCCAACACTCATGGACTCACCTCACTCTGCTTTCTTCTTCTTCTTTACTACAATATTTCAATTCCCAGTTTTCCAATGATAAACGCGGTGGATTCCGCCCTGGACCCACTGTTTTTCAATTACGTCAGCTGCGGAGTATTTGACATCATCAACAACCTCTAGACTTGGGTTGTCGTCCTCACTGCAGTCGTCAGCCTTTGGAGGATCAAAACCGCCGCCGTCTCGCCCTCCAAGTCCCTGGTCCTGAGTTTGTCCTAATTCATCGCAACCCCAAGAGCGACTAGTATCTGAATTCAGAGTCGGTCGGCGATGTAAAGGATGGCGGCACAGACCCCGACGGGTACTCCAAGGACGCCGGCTTCGAGTCCGATCATCTGCGACGACGAAGACGTCGTCATGAAGGGAAAGTTAGTGGTGTATTACTGGGAAGAGAACCCGGTGGTCAAGGAGGAGAAGCTGGACGACGACGGCAGAGAGGCAAACGGCGTCGGAGCTGGAAAATTTTGCTGCATAGCCGGCGACTGAAAATTCGCAGCATAGCCGGCAATTGAAAAGTCGTTGCAGTTGCTAAGTCTCGTATCCAAATGGTAGAGATAGGGATGAGAGGTTTGAACTTTGAAGTGATCGATGAATAAACATAAGGGGTATACTGGGAAGGTTGGGAGAAAATAGGTAGAGATTTTGAAATACTTGGGGTTTATTTTTTGGGCAAAGGACTATGCAATAAACCCAAGAGAACAACCAAAGATTACAAAAAGGGGGGACAAAACATTAAGGATGGTGATTCGGCCGGAAGCTGGTTCTTTGCGCAAGAACGAGCAACCCAGTCAGCTTGAAGATTGTTTGACCGATGAACAAATGCGATTCCGACGTTAAGGAATCGTCAGAGGAAAGAGGAAACAACATCAAGTATTGCCGCGATTTCCCACGGGCACAACTTCCTCAACAATCCTCTGTTTGCATCAACCAAAACTTTGCAATCCGATTTAATCACGCATGGCCTAGCCGTCTCCTTGGCCAAAACACAACCTTCCTGTAATGCCCTCGCTTCTGCTTCCAAGGCTGAGCTGTAGAGTAGGGAACCGGCCTTTCTGTCACAAATCTCGCCATGGTTGTTAGTAACGACAACACCATAAGCCGTCTACTGGGAATAACAAAAAATGATCCATCACAGTGAATCTCGAGCTCGAGATTGCCTGGCGGTGGGGGAGGGATGTGAAGGAGGTGGGATGGGCCGATTAGAAGAACTGGTCACTTCTTTTCTCTTTTGAGAGCATGTTTTCCATTGGTTGATTTCATGGATTAGCTAAAGTCTGTGGGGCCAAGGGGGGTGTTCTTGAAAATATTTTCATTTCTTGTCTTCCACAAATTCCATAGGTGAAAAGTAAATGCTTGGGGGGCATCCTGGTTCAACATCTTTTTCACCTCTCTCAGCCAATCGACAACCATCAGGGAGAGAGGCGGGAGAGCAATCTCCGGAACAAACTGCATCCATGATTCTCTAGCTTGTGGACATCCGAACAAGACATGATGAATGGGTTTCATCAGTTTGGAGACACACAGGGCATTCCGGAGATGGGGCGCAACGACGGGAGAAAAAATTATGCTTGGTGGCCAAAGCACCCCTAGATTCCTTCTAAATGAAAAACTTGAGCTTCGGAGGCAACGAAAGGTTTCGGAGCCATTTCCACATTTCCTTTTCTTCCATGGAGATCCCATTATGAACCGAAATCCCGAATCGAGAACGATCATAAAAGGCATGGAAAGCATAGCTCACCGAGAACTCTCCATTTGTTGTGAACCGCCATGCCCAGAAATCCTCCATATCCGAAGACCCAATGGGGATCTGGCCAATTGCTTGTAAATCCTCTCCAGAGATGAGACCATCAACAGTTGAAAAATCCCATGATCGACTAGTCTGATCAATGAGTTCAAAAACAAACCTGAGATCCTCAGTAGAACCCTGAATGCAGCTTCCAGACTTTGTTGGGATCCAAGGATCCTGAAAGACCTTTGTCTAACGTCCATTGCAAATGACACGAACAACTCCTAGACTCATCCAACAAGAGATATCACACAGGCTTGCCCAAATCCATGAGGCCCTACTCCCTTTGCGAGCCTCGCGAAAGCCACAATTTGAAAAGTAAAGCCCTTTCAGAAGGCAAACCCAAAGTGCATCTGGATAGAAGAGGATATGTCAGGCTTGCTTTGTAAGCAAAGCAAGGTTGCAGATGTGAAAATGTCGGAAACCAAGACATTCCTCCTCCTTTGGTGCGCCCGCCAATGGATGGTCTTTTTTGAAGTGGATCCTAACCAAAAGAATCTTTTTAGCATACCATCCATCCTATTGGTCTTAGATTTGGGAACAGGAAAATGAATATCAGGTAGGATGGAATAGCTTGGAAGACAGACTTGAGCACGATTTCTTTTTTACCAGGGGAAAGGAACAAACTTTTCCAATTCTCTCCTTGGTTTTCCATCTTTTCCAGCAGGAACTTGAATATGTCTTTCTTGGATCTACCCCAGGACGTCGGGACACCTAAGTATTTAGAGTGACAGAAGTCATCATCGAAGTTCAACAATGCCTTGATATCCTGTCGTTCCATTTTAGAAATATTGTAGCTGAAGAAAGCAGAAGATTTGTTAGTGTTTATCTCTTTCCCAGTAAGGGCCCCATACTTTGTGTTCACGTTCAGTAGGTATGAAGCTTCCCCCTGAGAAGCCTCCCCAAAAATGATGGTATCATCAGCGAACAGGCAGTGAGTAAGTCTCGGGCAATTGTTGCTCAGTCTGAGGCCTTTGATGTGATTTGCTGCGATGGACTTCTTAATGAGGAAAGAGAGGGCATTCGTCATCAAAATGAAGAGGAGGGGATACAAGGGATCTCCATGGCGAATACCTCTTGTCGGAACGAAAGAATCAGAGGGGATACCATTGAAAAGAACCTTGAAACCAACGAGAGACGCATTCTTTAATCCAGCTACACCAGGTAGGGCAAAAGCCATAGGCCTCAGGAGATTGAAAAGGCATAACCACTCCACGAGATCATAGGCCTTACGCATGTTAAGCTTGAGCATCATATTCTTTTTGTAACATGTCTTGTGCTTCTTAAAATGGTTAAGAACTTATATTGTCCTAAATCTGTCTTCCTCCTGTAAAAGCAGCCTGGAGCTCTGAGATTAGGGAGGGCATCCAGACCTGGAGCCTTGTAGTCATGATTTTTGTGATAACTTTGTAACGAAAATTAAAGCAGCTGATAGGTCTCAACTGTCCAAGGGAGTCAAGAGCGTTAGTTGGTATGATGGTGATGAAAGTATCATTCCATCCATCGGGCAACTTAGCATCCTGGAAAAATCTCTTGATTTCAGCACAAAATTGATCTTCACACACATTCCAACATCGGCATAAAAAATGGCCAGGAAAACCATCCAGAACTGGGGCTTTCGAAGGGCCCATGGAAAAGACAGCCCTCCTAATCTCATCATTTTCCAGTGGTTTAGTGAGCGCCATGTTCATCTCATCATGAACCAACTGAGGGAACCTACTTATATCAAAGCTCAGCGAGTTTGGATCCTTAGCAGTAAATAGATTATTGTAGAAAGTGGATGCCCACATTCAGAGCGATGACTAATCCTCAATCCATTCCCCTTGGTCATTCTTCAATCTTAAAATTTTGTTCGAAAATCTTTTTTGATACAAGAGGCATGGAAAAAGAAAGTGTTTTGGTCTCCTTCTTGAAGCCAACTGACTCTAGAAACATGTTGCCAGTACTCCTCCTCCTTTTCCCATATCAGATTCAGCTCATTCAACAATGTTGTCTCTTCCTCGCCATGGTGACCGTCATCATTCGACTTCTGGATATGTTCAATCCGTTTTTTTACCTCCACTTCCCTCTTAACAACAAGTCTACGCTTCTCTTTTTCCCACCTTCCTAGTTGATGTCTGCATTCATCAAGGATACTACTCAGATCGCCCCCTCGATTCCAAGTGCTCGTGATGATGAGGTTGCGGTCCTCTTCAAATCTCCATATTTTATCAAATCTAAATGGTGTTTCGGTTCGGTCCTCCAGCAAATCCAGGTCAAATCAAATGGGGCAGTTATCTTATTCAACAAACATCTCATGAAAAACCCTAGCTTTATCAAAGCGTAACCTCCATGACGTCGAGCACAAGGCACGGTCCAGCCTTTCCATAATCAAATTACTTCCACTTTGCATATTCTTCCACATGAAAATCGGCCCATTGAATCTCAGATCAATCAACCCATTCTGCTCACTGAAGTACTTAAACAAAGTCTTATTCTCATTTCTTATCGGGCACTGCCATTGTTTTTCTAAATCACATTGCACTACATTGAAATCTCCTACAAGCAGCCACTCCTCTTCTTGGCTCTCCCTCATTTGGGTGAGGTGATCCCAGAGAGCACGTCTCTCTACCACCGTGGTAGGAGAGCGAACAAAAGTACAAAATAATTCTCTATTCTCCCTATTAATACATACATCAATGTAAAATTGAGAAATGTCTATCACCCTGATCGAAACATCTTCTCTCCACCACAATGCCAGACCACTACCACCTACACTATGATTAACATACTCCGCATTTGAAAATTTCAACCCTTTCATTTTTCCTTCCATGAAGCTTTCTTCTTGTTTCGTCTCCATAAGAAACAAGATTGACGGCCCAAATCTGCGACAAAAGTTCTTGCAGTAGTGTCTTGTAAAGGATTGGCCAAATCCTCTACAATTCCAGCTCATTAGCCTCATTCCTGAGGAGGTGGCTTAAGGCTCACCACCACCGCCCTCGAGTTCAGACTCTGCCCTTCCTCGGCTTCGTTCCCTTCTGCCATGATTGTTGTCAGGCTCCTTCGGCGGTAAACTTGTTTCTTTTTTGCCTTCCCATGCTCTCCCTTTCCTTGATTAAACACAAGAGAATCAACACTCATGTTAGTAGAGGATGAAATCTCCGGCGAGATTGTCTATGTCGTCGTTTGCTGGTCAGCTTTCTTTTTCTTCGCTGGGTTTGCAAGGTTCTCCTCACTTAGGAGTCCAGTAATCAGTTGGACCGTGTACTGTGCCTCCTGAATTATGGATCCCAGAATGTTCAGCTTTGGAGGAGTTTTTGTGATCTTTGGGCTAGCTTGCTGAACGGTGTCACTTGGCCCAGCTAGTGAGAGCTGCTGGCCCATCTCCAGAAGGCCCAACTGTTTCTGGTCTCTCTCATTATCCCCCATTTCTTTGCTCCCAATGGGCTCTTCATCATTCAGCAGCAGACTGGTTTGTATAGCTTTCGTCGCCTTCTCTAGATCTTCCTCAAGCCTATGTGGTTGGTAGTAGTTGTCCAGAACTTTTTCTGATCCCCATGGAAGATAAGTTGGGCCCCTGGGATTTCTTAAGGAAGCCCCCCTATGCAGGTTATCGAAACCCGGTGGGCAAGAAATATGCAGACTGCGGTTTGTTGGTGCTACAGTCAACTGGGCTGACACCTCCTAACCTCCTTGGATTTTGAACCCTCTCCTCTTACTTTCTTCCATCTGCATGGCGAGGCGGCGCCGGAATGATGCTGGTGAGGTGTTCGCCAGTGAATCATGATCTGCTTTCAGCACTTCCATGTAGACCTCCTATGCCTCAATGTTGAGTCCCTTCCGTCGACATTCTTCTCTTGTCAAGAAATTTTACATCAGATGCCCTAGCTTTCCACAGAAATAGCACAAATCAGTGATTCTCTCATATTTAAAGCTCACCCATACTGACCTCTCCCAACAGGGGTACTCAAACCCGATTGGGATTGGATCCACAATCTTGACCTCCAGTTGAGATCTGATGAACTTTCTCCATCCTCTGTGTTCGATGTTGGATCTATCAATTCCATGGAATTGTGGGAACACAAAAGAAGCTACTGCTTCGATGGTTGCTTGGTGCTTCATTGACTGGAGAAGGTCGTGCATTTGCACCCACATAGTAACTGTGGAGAAGTCCACATCTTTTGCATTCCCCTCTCCATCCCATTTCTTGACTGCCACCAGGGTATTTCCTATGTTCCATGGTGTGTTCTTCCAGACTGCATCTCTATGTGCCTCTGTTTAGAAAGAGTAGACGAAGAGGTATTCATCTTTCTTGGATGCCTCCACTTCCCTGAACTGTCTCCACTTGCTGCTCGCCGCATTTCTTGCCTTGAACACTTCCCTGAACTGTCTCCACTTCTCTCTCTAGGTGGCTTTATGGTTCTTTTCAGTATCGTGGGAGTAAAAGCTATCATACTAGCTTTGAATCTCTGGGAGTTTTGGGGATTTTGGTTGCTGGATGTGGTATAAAGGTTTAGTCTGCAGATGGTGCCTGAAGGGTGGCCTTGTATTTCCTTTTTATAGCCAAACCAGCCTTGAGAAGTATGCATAGTGGGTGTCATTTCACTCTTAATGCTTCCTCTCTTGGGTGTCTGGCAAGTCCAGAGATCCTTATGCAGATGGAGATCCTTGCTTACAGGGGTGATTTGTTTATTTGGACGGTTATCCTTCTCTCCTCTGTCTGTGAGGGCATTAATGGTGATAAGGGTAGTGCTCTCTGTTGTTCTGCCTCCATGCAGGTTGCAATTATTTGGGGCTTGCCCTCCTTCCTTGCTAATAGACTTACCCACCTGAGCTCGGACGTCTCGTCGGTCTGATCTGTTTGTCTCTGTTGTGAGGACTGAGGAGGGGTTAATCGAGAGAGAGGAAAGTAGCATTATAGCATATCTCTCCCTTCTGAACTTGGATTTGCTCTTACCCGTTGGATGCCCACTTTCCATGGATTGGTTGTTTCATTTTCTGGTCTCCACATTAGCTCTCCTCTCTTATGCTTCTTTCTTCCATGTGGTGGTCTCCATATCCTACCTTGTAGACGCGGCCATTTTTTCCATTTATTAGGCTATTGTCTGTAGGATTCAGGGTTAATTGCAAGATTGGTCACTGAGATTACTAAAAATGTTCATGTTTAGTCACTAAGAATATTTAATTCCATTCATGGTCACTAAAATTAGTAAAACATTTCAAGTTCGGTCACTCTCCGTCCAACTCCGTTAACTTTGGCTGATGTGGCAGTCAACTCTTAAAGTTGACCGTTAAATGTGTGACGTGGCACTTAAAAAATAATAAAAAATTAATATTTTATATTTTAAATATTCCACCTAATTATTATCATCACTAAAAAAATAAAAAATAGAAACCTAATTCTTCTACTACCTACGCCGAACCCGCTTTCTCCTCCCCGACTCCACCCGCCGCCATCACGGCCAATCCTCTCTGTGAAAAACTCCACAACGGCAAATTCAAAAATCCCCAAATCTAAAACAAGATAGTAAAGGAGGTATCAATTGGGGAACCAACGTACGAGGACGATGAGTGCAATGGCCAAGAAGGGAGGGGAGCGGTGGCGAACCCTAACCCTAGGGCCAAATCTCGCAGGCGGAAGAGGAGTCCCTTGGGGAGCCAGAGGGATAGGGCGGCGTCGCGATCGAAACAGTCGATGGTGGCGAAGCTTCCGGGGAATAATCTCGTGATGGGACAGATGAAGATATTGAAGCCCGAGGAGTTGCTGGGGAAGAGTGAGGATGAGAAGAAGGGAAAAAGGTGGTGGATTTTGGATTGGGACCGACGGATCGTTGGGCCGGAGCTGGAGACGGTTCGGAAGGAGGTTAGGGTGGAGGAGTTTAATAAAGCCGTGGATGTGATGTATGCAGGTTCGGCGGTTTTCACCTGGTCGCCTTCGAGTTCGCTTCTTGTGTCGGCGTTTAATTGTGTGATTAGTGAGAAGGTGAAAGGATCAGAGATGATGATTTGGTAGATGGTGGCGATGATGGTTCGCTTCTTGGTGACCAGTCGGACCTTCAGCCGCGATGGCAGCGCGCAAGGGCGGATTGCTAGGTCTCATCTCGCGTATATGTAGAAGATGAAGAAGAATAGAGCGAGTTTTTGCAGATAGGTTTCTGCCATAGTTTGTGTTTCTGTAGTTGTGGACTTGCGGTGGTGGGTGTTGTTAGCTGCTCTGGGTTTTTTAGTTAGCTCTACTAATTAGTGGTGACCAGTCGGACCTTCAGCCGCGATGGCGGCGGGTGGAGTCGGGGAGGAGAAAGCGGGTTCAGCGGAGGTAGTAGAAGAATTAGGTTTCTATTTTTATTTTTTTAGTGATAATAATAATTAGGTGTAATATTTAAAGTATAAAATTTTATTTTTTATTATTTTTTAAGTGCCACGTCACACATTTAACGGTCAACTTTAAGAGTTGACTGCCATATCAACCAAAGTTAACGGAGTTGGACGGAGAGTGACCGAACTTGAAATGTTTTACTAATTTTAGGGACCATGAATGGAATTAAATATTTTTAGTGACTAAACATGAATGTTTTTAGTAATCTCAGTGACCAATCTTGCAATTAACCCGTGGGATTCATTGCCTCTTTGTTTAACGTTTTTGGTATAGGGTAATAGGATTGGGGAAATAAAGATTGATTTATAGATTGTGAAGGCTCCATGAATGGAAGCAGGAGAAAAAGCAAGAGCTTGAAGGTGATGAAACAGTAGGAATTTTGGTTGAGAGCATTTTGGTTCATCATTTCGAAATTCCTAATCACTTAAATCCCTCACTTTTTTGTGTATCCAGACAAAAGATTGTGACAAAATCTCTGATGAATGATGATGCTCAGATTTCCAATTCCAAACGACCCTAAGTTGTTGGCCTCCTTATAAGTATCTCCTACCCTCGAATAGGGCTGTTAATGAGTCGAATTCGAGCTTGGCTCATTTATAGACGAGTCGAGTCAAGTCAAACACGAGCCAGCTCATTGATTAAATCTTAACACATCATTAAGATCGAAAGTTCGGCTCGAGCTCAACTCTAGAATAATTTATAATATAATTACCGAACCGAACATGAACAAATCAAAACTCGACTCGGCTCATTAACAGCCCTATCCTCTACCTACCGAAGGACATCCTACCCTCCAACTAGCCTGTCTCCCTTTGCTTTCAGCCTTTGCCAAAACCGTTCACGACGAACTATCGTTTTGAACTACTGACGCAATAAAACGGCTCAATGACATTACACTGATGGCCCAGAGACAGAAATACTTCAATCGACAAGGCAACTCATGAGTCATGATAAACTAAATTAACCACAAGAAACAAAATTCAGGGTCATGCCAGTTCCTGAAGTACACTTGTCCCTGCGTACATAAACTAAAGACTGATGCCAACGTACATGATAAAACCAGTGAAGGCCAAAGCAAGAGTAACAAACAAAAGTACAGAACAGGACTCTCCCACCATGTGAACCACATTGTAATCAAGGCTAAATTAAACACACTTCTGACTACGAGAAAACCAAAACAAAACCTGGTGGACTAGAACTCAGCGGCAGAGATGACATCGTCGATCTTCAGTATCATCTTGACTACCTGTGTTGCAAGCAAAACCTGCTGCTGCTTCCCTATCAAGGTCTCGAACACGTTCTGCTCACGCATGTCCGTCGTCCCGACGTCGTTGCAGTCAATACCACAGTGGGGGTTGTTCTCCTGCATCACCCGCGTAGGTATATCAAGGGGAAATTTAAGATCACGGCAATTGTGTAAACGGTAGGTGATGCATGGTAGAAAGCTATAGAGAAGTGTTTATCAAGTTACCTTGATTTGCTGGGACTTCACAGCGGATAGAGTCTCAATGGGTTGTAGTCCACTGTTTTCCGCTAGTGCCATAGGGATGGCGTCCAAAGCATCTGCGAATGCTCGAATGGCATACTGAAGCAGGAAAATTAAAGCTATTAGTATATAGGAGAAAACAAGAAGGAAAACAAGTTGTTCTGTGAAGGGAGGAGGAAATGGAAGCCCACCTGCTCAACTCCAGGATATCTATCCGCGGCAGCTTCTACAGCAATTGAGCAAGCAATTTCAGCCGAGCCACCACCGTAAACGATGGAGTTGTTGCGGATGAGATTCCTAGCAACGCACAGAGCATCGTGGATGCTTCGCTTGGTCTCTTCTATCATCATCTTGTTACCTGGTTGAGCATCAAGTAGGAGTATTTAGGAAATCAGTATGGCTCAGAAGAATGATAAAGGAAACGAATAACAGGAGCCAACAAATATCCTCACCCCCACGGATGAAAACAGTAACGGCCCTGGAATTTGCACAATGTTCAATGTACAGCATTCTATCTTTTGTGGTGCCGAAGGACTTCTCCCTGACCAAACCAGCCTGCAGAATTGATGGCATAAATGAGGAAGAAGTTCAAGAAATCAAATCAGTCCATGGTTTCAGGTTCTCTATTCAGACTTGTGCAATCCATAGCAAGCAATGTCCCAAATGAAAAACATACCTTTCCTAGCTTCTCAGCTGTCAACTCCTGGAATCTTGGAACAATCCTGCCACCTATACGTGAAGAGAGCATGGTTTGTCAAAAGCAATGTACATTACACAAAAACGATAGAATAGCTTGTGAAGAATTATGAAGAAACACTCAACCTGTGGCAATGGCTATCAGCTCTAGCTCCACACCACCAACCCAACGTACTGCAGGAAGGTTTCTGTGCATCAGCAAATGGTTTGCCTCATCGTCAAATCCCCACTGGCAGATAACCAGAGTTGCACCAACATCCTGTTACATCAATTTCAGGAAAGAAAGTTTGTAACTACTAGATAAGATGAGCAAATCCTTCAACCAAAGCTACATGATGCTTCTAACTGGACAAACAACTATACCTTGCACTGTTGAACCATATCATCGAAATACTGGTGCTCTTGCCTGCGTAGAGCCTCAAACTTCTCTACTGTGTCAATGTCCACCTTATGCTTGGTCTTTGGCTTCGGGGGTTCAAAGGGACATGTCAAAATAGCAATGTTTGCATCTTGAATTTGCTTGGGCATCTGTGGGTGACTCATGTCCTTGTCAACAACAATTCCATAAATCAGTTCAGTATCTTCCAACTTCCCACCAACCTTCCCATCAACTTTTATCAAGTCCAAGTTCACATCTTTCCTTTCTAAATCTGCCACAGCAAGGACGGCCTTTACAGAAATCTCGGCCAACTGGCGCTTGCATCTGTTCACGCTGCAAAAACAAAGACACGAAGAAAATTCAAGAAAAGAACCTTACCTTTCCTAGCATTTAAAAAGCTATAACATTCCTATACGAGCACCCATGATAGCAAGAAGAAAACGTAACCAAACTGATTTTCAAGCAAAAGAAAAAGAGTCAGCTTTGGCCAGTTACTTACATCTTTGAAGATAAAGTAGTCATGCAAGTCTGAACAAGCGACTCTATGTTGTTCTCTCCAAATTCGAACTTGTGAGCAATACGCTCCAAATGCTCAACAGCTATTCTAGACGCAAGCTCATATCCCTCTGCAATTCGAATGGGATGAATCCCACGCTCTAGCAACTTCTCAGCTTGCTCGAGAAGGCTTCCAGCCATGACCACAACACCAGTAGTCCCATCACCGATCTCATAGTCCTGACTCCTGGATAGCTCCACCATGAGCTTGGCGATTTGATTGTCTACATCCATCTGCTCCAAGATTGTCGCACCATCATTGGCTGGAAACAGAATAAGGAAAAAAAGACTCTGTCAAGCAAAATAATCGAAGAAAAGAAATCCTATCACATCAAATCAACTTCTATTCTAGCTCAAACTCCAACAGTCTCCAGTCACTAACAATGATCCACAGAGATCCACGAACGAACCTTAAACCCTGAGCTGCTATTCGAAGAGAAGTAGGCATACACGAAACAAAGACACGCGCAAACACACGACTACGACAATCAAATCAGCGGATCGGAAGTAAGGAAAAGCGAAACCCCAGACCCGGTGCAATCTAACTCGATAACGGAACTAGAAAGCGAGAAGAACGAGCGAAGCGAGGACAAAGATACTCACTGATGGTGACGTCACCGTCGGGGCTGGAGAGCATCTTGTCCATCCCCTTGGGACCGAGCGAAGTGCGGAGGATCCGAGCGACGGACCTACCGGCGGAAATGTTGGCCTTCTGCGCATCGAGACCTCTCAATCGAGTCTTCTGCTCCTGCTCCTTGATTATGATGAACGGGCGCCCGTATTCGTCGAAAGCTAGCGCCATTTTTCCGGCGGCGCTTCCTTCTTCTTGGTTTCCTGCTCCGCTTCAACGGCGACGACGGAGCTGCGAGTGGTGGAGATGAGCGGAAAAGGGAAGATTGTAGAAGGCGAACAAACCAGTTGAGTAGCAGTAGAGCTTAAGCTTCCTCTCTACTTCGTCCATCCGCCATTTTGAAGCCCTAACCCGCCCGACGTGCCTGGGTCGGGCTCTAGGATCCGAAAAGTTGGTTAGTGGACTAAACGAGCCCAAGTGTTGCTATAGTTGAAGCCCCTCCTTAGATGGAGCCCAATCTTTATCTTGCTTTATGTCATATTATATGCCCCATTTAAAATTTGGAATACTCCAAAATGACAATAATTTTAGGCAAGCACAATTAATTCATAGTTTAGGGTTGGTTTGGTTCATCAGATTGTTAAATTGATATATTTTCATTAATACATATATATACTAGTCACGGGCTCGACCAATTGACCGGATTCAGTTGTCAATCACGTAAATAACAGTAAAAATTTGTATTCAGGCTTCACATTAGTATAAGAAAATTAAAATTCTTCAAATAATTTAAACATCCAAATCAATTTTGAGAATAAGAGAATCCAAATCATTAAAATAGTTCAACAATTTAAAAGGATGAAAATTGTACTGTTTTTCGATAGTAATGACTAATCGGCTAAAATCGTTTTACAAAAATGAAAGGAAACCCCATGCAAAGGAACCGACTCCTAAATACCAATGAAAATGACCATTCTAGTTAGTCCTCGTCGTCATAGATTATTGTATGTTTTCTTTTGACTTGTTTGCATTTCCTCCGACATGATCAACAACTTCATAGTCACCACTGATAATGTCTTCATATCCATTAGCGAGACATTTATCTCCAATAACAATTGACTCTTCCTTCTTCTCCTGGATTTCAGCAATCTCTTCCTTGTTTTCCTACATTTCATTGAGCACGAAAATTTGATGTTAAAATATATTTGCAATACAAATCATCTTTTTCATTGGAGTAGAATTTACCTCGTTCAAGTTACAAACATTATCCTATATTTGTTCTTTCTCATCATCACCAGTCTTTAAACCTTCTTTATGAACAATGTCTTTCTTCTTCTCAACATCATCATTATCTCTAGCACCGAATCCACTACCTCCACCATTAGTAGTTTCATTATTGTTCTCCTCCATCAACATAATGAGTTCAGATTATACATTCAAAAGTACAACATATGGGGTGGTTTTATCGAATCGTGATTGGTCAATACATACATATTATAGATCAAATTGTAGCCAAATGTAATCGATTGCAAGTTGGTGGGAAATGAAGCAAAGTTCCACACCCAATACATATTATCAGATCCTTCATATTTCGAAGTAGGCAGTACTGAAAGATAGAAATGGGTGTTCTCCACCTTTGACCTTTGCAGCAAGTTCAGCATGACTGTTAATGACTAAATGCCTATTTTATTAATTAAACCCTATGCTCCCTTCATCGAAGCCAATTCTGCTAATTAAACCCACAACTCCACTCATATGGTCATTGTATTATGTGAATTAGATTAATCAATATAACTCAATATGAACTGTGCATGGTATTAAAATCCAAATCCAATAGAGAATAGCACAAATTTTTAATTAAGATTGATCATCATTTAATTCAAATATAAGATACCCCGATCAAGTCATGAATATCGTTGGTGGTCTGCTCTTCTTCATCCTTCCCTATTTTGGTTATTGTGTCCTCGGTTGTTAGATTGGTGATGTGTAATCTGTGAGCTTGATGTCAAACTACAACGTCATTCCCTCAATTTCTAGAAGATGAGCTGGTGGTGGTCCTCTAATTATATCATTGTCTTGGAATAGTCTTTCAGCCGACATTCCCAAATAATTAAGCTCCCACTCTATCAATCACAACAATGTCAACCTCTCATGTTTTGTCCACAACTCGAAAGGTGATCCTAAATCCGTATAATGATGGTAATATAATTTTTTTTGTTGAAGTACACGTTATATTTTAGGTATTAATACAAAGTCTCAAAATTTATTCAATCAATAATACAAAAATAGTTATTAGGTAAGATAGATGGGCAGAAGTTGTTCATATATTTAATTTAATACTCTAAAATGCACATAAGGTTTCTGCTTGATGAAAAATAATATAAACAATATTTTGGAAGATTGAATATTCAATCACTTGAGATGTATATTAATCACCGAACTGTACCTAATCAAATTTCATGTTAATAATGGTTGCATTACTTTAATGTTGTCATTTTTTAATGCCTTTTAACAATTCACACAGAACTACTCGGCTGAGTCTTCTTCGAGATTTTGTGGACATGTTTCGCATCCAACATAGCACATCCATTCTTAATTTGACAATTTGCATTTTATGGAATACATATTTCTCTACATATTACAAAAAATTTAAGTATTTGATAGTTAATGGGTTGTTAATTCGAAACTCATGCTTACCTCTTCTCCATATTTCATTATTAATTGATTGAGCTCAAGTAGTGTTTTGATTGGGATTGACAGTTGAGTTTTTCCTGTGTTTTCATTGGAGGAATAGGTGCATCGCCGTCACTTCTTTGGAGTTCAAACTTATAACACAAACAAATACAAAGATTAAATTGTGGTGAATTTCACCTTGCCCCAAATTCAACGACTTCTGGAATTTTTGGATTCGCCAGTAGCAAGGTTGCTCAAGTTGAGCATAAGGTGTTTTTGCCTGCAAATTTGACGATCTTTGAATTAAGTATCATTAATTTATTTAAAAATTCTTGTAATAATAATATATAAATTTAGATGTGTATTTACCATTGTACTTATCGACATGTAACGGGTCACATTCTCGTCATTGTATCCATCCGCATCCTCAATGCCAGAAAATGGAATATTTGGGTGCCAACCATCCTCTTCATTTGGGAATAATGGGATATTGGAAAGTCATTAAACGTGCATAAAATATACTAATTTGTTCCAGTTCATGACTTTGATAATGAACAACAATATCAGGAGAAAATGTTTGCTCTCCAGTATCATCATTAATTAAAGCAGTGACCTCATTAGCATATGGCAAATCATATTCTCTACCATCTCCTTCTCTTAATTTTAGCAAGCAAGTTAATTTCAACTTGTTGAACAGTGGTGTCATTCTATTGGTCTCATGCAGATTGTAATGTCTTTACGAAGATATTATTTGAATCTAACATCTCCTACAATTATTGAATAATTGATCAATCGCGGAAAGGATTTGTAGCTCGATCTGTGGAGAAAAAATCTAACCTATTTTGGAGTTCATTGTCAGTGTCATTGATGTAGAGTTGAGCAAATTTTGGTCTGTTTCATTCAGTATGTATCAAGCTACCGATGCAATGATATACTTGACCTCCAATCGAATAAATATATTCCTTGTCCATCATTTATAGATCGATCCAGTTCAACTCCAACAAAAGTAAATCTGAAGACCCCATTGAACATGTTTATTCGAATATGTTCCAAAAAGTGACGTCTTGTTGAAGTATTTGCTTGCAATAGCATATTCAAAATCTTAGGAGGTTGCCTTCGAAGAGGGAAGTTCACTTTGCCTTGTCTGCAACACAATGAAAACGTTGGTTCATTGGAATTCCTTGTGGGTTTGGTATTTTCTCCCTTCCACATCATCGCTCCACAATATTCATATTTATATGATGGGGTTCCAATATCAAACACTTTAACAACTACAATAAAATTAAAAATCCAATATAAAAAATACATTTGATAAAAATTCCAACATTATAATAAAGGCAAAATACATTTGTATAGCCAAAACTTTAGTGTTTGTGACAATAATAGCCAATTTTGGAGAAATACCATTTATAGCCAGATTTTGTAGTTGTTGTATGACAAATCTAGCCATTTTCGTTAGATACTTTAACGGTGTTACTAACACCATCAACTTTTTTGACAGATAGTTGACTAGTCTCCCATTCAGCGCACACATCAGCGCCAACTAAGCCGAAAATCATACATCATAATTTATATTTATTTGATAATTACATGTCATTAATTAATAAAAAATAATAATAAATTATTATTGTTTTTTTACTTTTTTATAATTTTGAAATGCTTTATTAATTAACCTTAATACACAAGATAGGGGGGGGGGAACAAGAAAAAGGAAAAGCAAGACTCGAATCAATCTCGGATCTCCCACCCACAAACGACAAACCAACCCAGAAACAGAGCACACAACCTACAAGGCTACAACCTCCCAAGTCCCAACCCCCCACACAACCAGAGAACCCAGCAAGCCCTCGATCAGATTAACTTAACGAAGACCATAATCATCTCTCAATTGGATTTATGAACCTGCGAGATTCTAGGTAAGAGTTGGGCTTTGAGGTTTGAAAACCATTGGTCCGCCATGCTTCTATCGACGTTGTGACCAGCAGCTAGCTAATTAGAGAAACACTCCTCTATAAAGTCAAAGAACTCTTCCTCGGCCGTAAACTGACAAACTCCGACCCTGTAAACCTTCCTCGGTCGGTTGTGGCGAATGGCAAGATTGGCCAATTCGGTGAGAGCGGAAGCCATTTGGAGATCCGCCGTTCTACTTCTCGGTTCATCGATTTGTTCACAGATCTCCTTCTGGGGTTCGTCTGCTGCTGCTCTATTTGAGACTACCACTCCCTGTCTTCGGCTTCTTATTCCCAAGTGTTCCAGCATTGATTGATCTCTACTCCCGCAGAAACTCCTTGCGCCGCTCCCACAGCTACGAAGACCCGACTATGCCGAACACCAAGTTCCAGCGTCGATCGATCTCCACTCCCGTTGGGGTTCTCGTCGGAGAGGAGGGCATTGTGGCTGGGCAATCTCAGGAGCGAAGAGGGAAGCGGTGTTGGGGCCGCGGGGGTGGAATCGGCGACGGTGGTGGTTAGAAAAATTAGGGATACGAAGAGAGGGAAGGGGAAAGTGAAAAGGGAGGATGGGTGGAGACTTTACATTTTCTTTTTATTTTTTAATTTTTAAAAGTAATCCAGCGTGGAATTATCACGGGAGAAACTCGCCAACTCAGGCTTTTCGTTTGTCCAGTCAGCTTATTAGTTGACACCGTTAATGAATTGGACGGAAGTGACTATAAGTGGTATTTCTCCAAGATTGGATATTATTTGCAAAAACGTGAAAGTTTTGGCTATACAAGTGTATTTTGCCTATAATAAATGAAGGAGAATGAAATAATTAAAATATCATAAACCTAGAAAGTCTCTAGATTGCATCACCCAAAGACGATTAGAACAATTTTCAGCAAGTTTGGTGGACCTCAACAATCTATTTCTCTTAGTTTGTAAGTTATTCATCTCATTTTGAAGTCCTGTAAAGGGGTATTCAAATGGTTACTGTGGTAATGACCAAACCAATTAAGCCTAAATTTCATTAACCATGGAATAAAATGTCTTAACCAAACCGTCCAAATTAACCAAACCAAAGTTTAATTAGTTTGGTTAATCGGATAATCGGATTACCCAAATAACATTACATTACATGAAAACAATTATCTTGTTAATGAATAAAACATAACCATATACGGTTACTATCATAAACTATCATTGTATATAAGCAATAATAATAAGATCCTAACCATCCATAATTATCATCATCATTCGAGTTAATACATCATTCATCATCTTTGCACCTAATATAGTTGGATTACAACAAACCCCTTAACATAAATACATACCAATACCCCTCATAAGAAAGTTAAAGCTCTCCTACAAAACACTTAAACTATACATAGTTTGAGGTGGTTGTCATGGTATGTACGTAATCCTAAAGTCTGGTAGTTGTCCAAAATGTTTTGGTTTAGTAAATAAGCAGACCCATTTAATTTTGGCCAAATACACTTGTGTAGCCAAAACTTTGACGGTTTTGCCAAATATAGCCACTTTTGGCAAAATACCAAAAATAGCCACTTCCGTCCAATTATTTGACGGTGTTAGTTAACGTGTTGACTGGACTAACGGATTGTCTGACGTGGCGATTTCCGACCCATATGTATTTTTCACGTGGATTTAAAAAAATATATTAAAAGATTAGGAAAAAATAAAAGGTTATGTATTTCCCATGTACATTAAAACTTAACAAACAAAAACAAAAAAAAATCCCCCAAAAAAATTCCATCGCCAACACAGCGTTGCAAACCCTTCTCTTCCCTATCCATCAGATCCCGCACCGGCCGCCTCGTATCATCGTCGAGATTCAATAGGAGGAGATTGTAGGCTTGGCTTCAAACAACTACCTCTCCTCTCGATTTCATTCCCAAATCATTCTCTCCCGCACCATTCCTCATTCCCAAATCATTCCCTTATTCTCTTCTCGAATTCAAACTGTTGCCTGTCCTCGCGATTCAACCAGCTCTCGCACCATTCCCTCATTTTCTGTCTTGGAAATTTGAATCATTCCAGCCTCCAGATATGTTCCAAATCTCCAAAAAAATTTCATTCCCAGATCTAACCCGAGCGTTCTCGGCAAAGAAAACACAAAATCATGAAGCGCTCAACGCCAATAAAGTCCGCCCAGGTCAAGCGTCGCTTTGATTCCCGACCCAAAATCCCTTTCTCCGACGCGAATCAAGGGTCAGAGTCGCACCATCACTGCTCTGACGCAGATCGAGGGTTCGAGTTCCTCTCCTCTCCTTCCGTTGTCACCTCTGTCATCCCGCGACAAGCACATTCCGGCAATGCGATTGAGTGGAGGATGGTCTCGTCGTCGAGTGCGGCGGGGATGCGGCATAGCTGCGGCGGCCATGGATGGCGAGGAACAGCGAAGGCAGGGACGCCTCTGTGAAGATTGTGCATAGATATGGCTGGTCGTTTTCAGCCTTGTCTGTGCCTAGGTTTCTTTCGTCGGAGAACAAGAACCAGAAAGGACAGATCATATTTGGAAAAGCAGGATTCACCGATCGCTTGGTTCGCCGATCGATGGGAGATACTGGATTTGATTCACGAAAGAATAGAGGGCACTAGGCAGGGAGTGGGATCGAAGAAGATGAAGAAGGGGATTAAGAGAGACGGAGAGTTCATCTCCTTTTGTTTTGTTTATTTATGTTTTTTATTTATTTTGTAAATGATGTGTATTCCACGAGTCAGTGAATGCTGAGGTGGAAATGAAAGAGAAGGTGAGTTGGCTGCCAGTTAAGCATTTCGTTAAATTGATTAACGGTGTCACTGACGTCGTTAAATTATGTAACGCAAATGGCTATTATTGTCATCAAACTTTCAAAATTCTGCAATTTATTGGTATTTTGCCAAAAGTGGCTATATGTGACAAAACCGTCAAAGTTTTGGCTACACAAGTGTATTTGGCCTTTAATTTTTTACCCATAATGTTTTGGTTTGTTGTGCACATGGACATAAAATAGGGAATCATGAAAGTTTGGTTTAGTTGGTTACATGGAAGTATAAATAATTTTGTATATTAGGTGTATCATTAATTGGTTAATTGGTTTCATTGGTTAACAGTGTTAAAACGAAACCAAACCACCTAAACCAAATAAGCTAAATTATTTAACCAAACCAATATCCAAATTAACCAAACCAAATTAACCGAATGCTACCGGTTAATATGGTTACCACGGTAACTAATTCGTTTGAACACCCCTAGTCCTGTATATGAATCATTAAAATAAGCATTATTTATCATCTAACATATAGGGGTCGTTTGGTTTTGGTGATATTTAAATAGATGTGTGTCATTGACTCACACGAAGCTACACTGCGAATTAATCCCGACTAGAGCCCAAGTTTTTAAACTCTAGTCTGGTGCAGTATAGGGCAAGTATTTTATTGTCAAACCTGGGCCGTTCCATGTACCCTACTTCAATTGCCTAAGTTGTTATCTAGCAAAATAGTTTTGGATTTAAAAATAAGAAAACTACAAAATAAACAACCAAGTAAAGAAAATCGAGGGAAATTCTATATGAGAGGACCTCACTCGGGTGTTGCTTCCCCCTAACCAACTTCCATAAATCATGAGATTGAAACAAACGGTGTGTAACGAGGCAACTGTGACCCGTAGGAGGTACAACAATGGTTAGAAATCATTCTCCCAATTGCTAGGCCAAGGTAGGTGTCAAAGGCTACAATTGTAGCCCTCTTGGCCTAAGCAATTGACAGTAGACTTACCTTCTCCCTCACACCAAGGTTTGGATGATATAATCACAATTAACCCAGGTGTCTACTTCAAACTTAGAGGTTTCTCCTTAATTAACCTAGTTAGGAGGCATGAAATGCCCAAGAAAACCCATCTCTATTTGAGCCTATTAAGTTAAGGGGGCTTCTCTCTAAACTAGTTTAGGAGGCATGGAATGCCTAAGAAAACCCAACTCAAATTGAGCCTCTTAAGATAAGGGGGCTTCTCTCTAAACTAGCTTAGGAGGCATGAAATGCCCAAGAACACCCAGTTCCATTTGAGCCTCTTAACATAAGGGGGCTTCTCTCTAAGCTAGGTCAAAATAACACAATAGATTGCCAATCACACACAATGCACAATCACCATGAAAAATACATCAATTCGTAAATTAAACACCTCCATCACACAATCATTCAATCCACACAATAAATTACATGGTAGAAGTTAGGGTTCTACAACATCCAAGTGAAAAGGAAGGCTAATTCATAGCCAGGCAAAGGAAAACAACAAAAAGGAGAGAAAGAACCATGGAGAGGTGAAAATCTTCCCCCCCTTGTTGCTTTAATCTCCCTTGAGAAGAAGAAATCTTCTATCCTCTAGCTTGAATTGAGCCTAATCTCCTTCTTCCTCCTTTGAATGACACTTTCTCTCTAGAATGGGAAGAGGAAACCCTAATCTCTCACTAGAAACCCTCCTTTATTATGAAAATTAAAACCCTAGAAAAGCTCTCTTCTCTCATTCAGCTCCATTCTCCTTTTATACTCAGATCGAGCTCTGTTCACGGTCTTAGGTTTCAGTTCACGGTCGCGGTTATCAGTTCACGGTCTTAGGCTTCAGTTCACGGCCACGTTAATCAGTTCACGGTCTTAGACCTCAATTCACGGCCTCGAACATCAGGATGCGGTCTTGAACTCAGTGAACTGGATCAAAACGCACCGCTTCACTTCTGGGGTTCACGGTTTGTGGTTCCAGTTCACGGTCTTAGCGACCGTGAACTGCCTTCGTATCAGTAACCTCAAAAATCCCTCAGGAAGATTTGCGATTCACGGTTTGTGGTTCCAGTTCACGGTCCTGGCGATCGTGAACTCCCATGTTGGACCGTGAACATTTGTTAAATCCTCCTCTTTGCCCGGTCTTTGCTCCTTTTCTTCCAACTTTCGACTCCGGGGTTAGTTTCGCCTGTTAGACTCTGAAACACATTGAAACACAAGAAACCTAGCGTAAACCCACATTTTTGGAGCTCAATTGCCAAAAACGTCAAAGAGAAACGGGGATAAAAAAGTGTACAATTAGGCCCGAATCACTCCCACACACTTAGACATTTGCTTGTCCCCAAGCAAACCAAGTACAAAACAAGGTAAGCTTACAACTCCTTTTTCAACAAAACAAATTTTGGGGCATGTCATAGGGCACAAAACGAATGAGTCACAATTGTTATTGGACACCGACCTATGGCCAAGAACAAAGTAATCTTGGAAACCACCACAAACGACATTCAACTGTATTAAGGTTGTGCAAATGAAGAGTTCTCACATTATTTATCAACCAACACATAACCTACTTCGACTGCTCACCAACCACAATCACTCATCCATAAAGATCACATCATAGGAACGAACGATCGAGCAACCTAGGTCCTCACCAGGGTATAAGAAATGAACAAAATATGATGAATGAATCACTCACTCTCGACCAGTGGGGTCATGACCATTTGATGCAAAAGATGTGCATATTCACGCTCAATCCTAACGTCCCTTTACCATGACGATAACCTATAAATGTTAGAGTTCACAAGATGCGTGTCGTCGCTAGCTTGTCCGGAGGTCTTAGAAACATATTCAAATGGTTGGCTAGGGTCTAGGACATGAGGAAAAGGCTTTTTGGGTGGTGGCACGTATTTCATGAGGTTCCACAACTTCAACCTAGAACCAAAGTACAAGGTTCCTTAGCTTCGATCTAGAACCTTCTTCAACAAAAAATGACCACTAACAATGGCCAAAAACCACACTTCCAACACTTCCAAAACACAACCAATCAACAACCCATTCACAACTATCTTTCTTTCTACATTTGCTATTCAATTTCAATCACACGGGTGTGGTAGGAGAACATGTAAGTGTTCATAAAGCTTGCATGCAAAGCAACACTTCTAAGAGCATGTTCAACATTTATTATATTTTTGGTGGCCACTATCTTTTCTTCTTTGGCCTCTTATTGATTTCTTTTTCTCTCTTTCTTTTGCTTTTCTTTTCTCTTTTCTTTGGGGGCTATAGAGAGCTATATACACATGTCACATTTTTTTAACTTAAGGAACAATGATCACTTTTAAGACCTACCTCCACACTCGGCTCAAAAGGTTTGACTAAGTAATAATATGATCGGGTCGGTCAACTTTTGGGTCGTGGGCTAATCATATGCCTCCATCTTCCTTGCTAGGAACAACGTGAATGCTACACATCATGTAAAGGGGGATCTATCGCACAAGAATGAAACGAACGACACAAGTCTCACATGGCTACCTAGGTGCTTAATCATTCGTTCTAACTCCCTAAACTCGATGCATAGGCAATTGTGAAAAGCAAGTAATTGATTCAAAACATATATCGGTTCACAAACATATGAGAAATGAACCTATTCAAAAACCTAATACAAGTCTCAATCGTCATCATAGGTTTCACATAATCACAAGCAAACCATCCATATATCATGCTAATACCCATGAGATTCAAAACAAAACAACACAAGTGCCACTATGATCATGGAAATGTAGAAGTTGCTAACCTTGGAGCCCTCAGATTTTAAAAATTTGGGCATACAACTAGGATCCAAGCATTAAAATCACACCAAACGTTCACGCCACATGCATAATGGACTACCCCCCCCCCCCCCCACACACACACTTAAACTCGACATTGCCCTCAATGGCGTAAAATAGGAAAGTAGAATGATGTTATCAGATAGTGGTGAATGTTGGTGTTCGGGAGCAGAGGCCGGGTGAGATCCTAAAGAGCAAGGAGACAACAAAACACCACCAAAAGCTCTCCATTGGTTGTCTTATTGAAAGGAAAAGAGATGCAAACCGTTTATGGTTGGGTTGCCTCCCACCAAGCGCTTTTTTAACGTCGTGAGCCGGATGGTTGCTCCTCAAGTTTCGGTCCACCCAAGAACCTCCTTGAAGTTGAGGTTCTCGTTGGTGAGATGAAGTCTTAAGTCACGAGCTTTGGACAAATCCATGATTGAGGGCTCTTGAACTTGAGTTGTCATGAGGCTCCACCCACAAGACATCTTCTACTTTTCTTTTTCTTTCTCTTTGCCCCACACCATGTAGTCCATCATTGATTGACTTCCATCGCATCCACCAAGAGGGATCGCCGATGGTTTGGCCTTGTCTTGGCAAAGAGCCGCAAATGGTTCCTTCTCCAAAAGCACTTTAAGGTCAGGTAGAAAGCATTGATAGCATTTGTAACTCGTGGATGCTTCATCCACCTCGACCTCGTCCTCATCTTGGACACCACTTGCTCCTTCTTCTTCTTCCTCAACCTCCCTTCCTTCTTCTTCACTTTCCTCATTTTGGGAACAATCAAGATCTTCCCCAATTTCAATGTTTTCTTCCTCCTCTTCAACCTCTTCCTTCTCCTTTCCATTCATGCCCTCAAGCACTGTTTGGAGGGCAAGATGTCATGCAATATCATAAAAGGGATTCTCTTGCTCCTCCACACTTGACTTGGTCTTCAAAGTGGCTCTCTGGAAGGGTGTGAAAGTCATCAATGCAACTCTCTTGTGCATCCTCACCATGGGAGCTCAACGGGGTGAGTTCGTCTTGCTCCACATGGTTGTCATCGATCGCTCCTTCAACCTCCTCTTTCTCCTCCAATGATGAGAGGCGATAGCTTGCACAAGCTCGTGCCACCTTCTCTTCAAGTGTCAAATCGGGTGGAGGGAGGGGTTTGGAATCCATGTCGGAGCTCATTCTTCCAAAGTTCTCATGGCTTGCCTCTTCGATCTCCCTTCCTTCTTCTAATGGTAGGAGGAAATTGTAAGCAAGTTGTGCACATGCTTGCTTAACATGCCCTCCTAGCCTCTCCGTGTGTCAAAGGAGCTCCTCTGATTCCCGAAGAAAGGTTGAGTCGAAATGGTTGGCAATTAGGAGGTCCTTTCTAGAGCACCCTTCATCGGTGCCCCGGGCAAATCGCTCCACCATGAGCTCTAGTTTGCTCTTTGGCTCCGGTTGTGGAGTGGC